AAACAATTAATTTTATAAATTAATAATGTTAATATATTTTTAATTACATTAATTATATAATAAATTAAATTATTTTAAACATTAAATTTTATAATTACATAAAATTATAATCTAATATATAAAATTATATCATATTATATCATATATTAATCATTTTAATTAACATTGAATTAAAATAAAACATGTTATTAATTAAAAAATAATTAGAATGTATATATAAATAATTTATAAAATAGTTAATAAATGTTGTAGTGGGGACCACTTTTGAAAGTGTAGGTAACGTGACACAGTTGAAAGTGTTGTAGGTGAATTGCAGGTGTGTGAAAGATAATTGCAAAAGCTGATGTGTCACAATTGAAAGTGTAAATGGATTGCAGGGATGTGGATGGTCTAAGAAGTAAAAAAAACACTGTTGCTATTAAAAATTTAAGCAACTAAAGTGACACATGAATTTCAACAAGTGGAGAAACAAATGAAAAACAAACAACTTTTTGGTCTTTTTTGGGTTCTCAAGAATAACCAAAGAATCTCATCTTATAGCTTTAGTAATTTAATTTTAATATACTAGTATAATTTTAATTAATGGTAAAAAAATATGAATTTTAAAATATAAAAGGGTTCAGCCGGCCTGTCCATATTTATTTTTATATTGCATATGTCCGTCCGTTAATTTTAATGAACAAACTCGGGTCTGCCCATTTTCTCGATAATGGTTGTCCGAGCCCGTATTTCTAGCGAGCCGAATGGACCGAGTTTAATGGGTCATCCATGAACAACTCTACTTAATTGCATACAAAACTACAATCTTAACACCGTTTTAATGACAACCGTTAATCATATGTATCTACAGTCACAAATGAGTTGTAACTTTGAAGAGGTTTGTATTTGAAGGACTCTCTCTCAATAGATATATATATATATATATATATATATCAGTGTTCAAAAAAACGCGTCATGACGATATGGTGCAAGACGCATTTCCGCCGTTACGCAATGACTCATAGTGTTTCTGTAAGGCATGACTCACGCCATGGCGTGCCGCAATGCGCGTTTTTTGTAACGTGATTTTTTTCAAAAAAAAATTTAGCTTTGTTTTTATACATTTAACTTTATATTTTACATTTTTAGAGATATAACTAATCACATAATTTACAGTTTCACAATCCATAAACATTACAGACTCATGTTAAAATGAAGTTATAGAATTACCTTTCTAAGTTCAAATTTAAATATTTAATCAAAAAACCTTTTTTTATAATAATAATAATCTATATGATTTTTATATTCTAATATGAATGTACATTTTTTTATATCATTATCTAATTAGATAATATATAGAAAACATATATCTATATATATAATTCTACATACACATACAAATTTGTTGGCTTATGTTACGCCTTGAAAAACGTCGCTTACTCGCCGTGATATGTAAGGCTTGAACTTGCCGCCACGCCAAGCCTATTTGAATTTTGATATATATATATATATTATAAGCAAGTATAATTTCTAAAAAGAATATATAAACTAAACCGCTCTCATTTAACAGACTTTCAATTAGTGATAATGTTAAGAGAAATTACTTGTGTTTACTGCTAAACGCATTGGAGTAAGTGACGATGATCCATCAAGTGAAAGGTTGTTTGTTGATTATGACAATTACTTCAATTGAGAATCTGTTTTGAGTACAACCAATTTAAATTCTTGTTCGTCTACGTCGAACGAAACCTCTACTCAAAAATCACATTTGTTCTCGTCAAATCCCTAAATCCTGAAACAAAAGATCCTTGAATGTCAGATCTGCTATTTCCCGATAAACTAAGAACTCTCAGCATTCTTAAAAAACTAACATTTATTTTCCTCTAAGCAAACACCACTGTATGATAACAAAACCTTCAATCATGTAAAATATTATAATGTGTATAAACACTTAATAACAATGATTGATAAGAATAATCATAGTGACCTTGTAAATGTAATAAAACCCACAAATAATTCATAAGAAAAACGTAAACAATTTCGTAAAAGTAGTTATAACCGTTTTGTAACGAGACGAAAAATTGTGTGAAAAAAGAAATTATGGTGAAAATCATAAGAAGGGATTTGAACAATTGATAACTTTTAATCTCATGCGTCCATGTTTGAAAGGAAACTGATCCAGTGCAATAGTGCACCTTATCAATGTTAGACATTTGTAACACCCGTAAATCTTTCCCTTTTCCCTAAGCCTTTCGCATCAAGAGTTCTCGTTCCGTTGGTGAGGTATGCGTTTTCATCCACGTATTTAGAGCTTTAGTCATCCCAATTCTTTTCAACCTTCTCTATTTTGTACTTTCTGCATATATAAATATAAGTTTCCTTCAAGATAAGCTTTCCTCGGAATTGAGTAGAATAAAAAGAAAGTGTGGGGGGTACCTGCCACCTTTGGGTTGTCCTATCCTCTCTGTACTTTTGAATCAAAATGTTCCCTAAAGTTCTTTTCCTTCCAGGAAGGTTTGATTTTGGGGGAAGAGAAGCCTTTAGAGGAAGGAAGGATGGGGGATAAGGTAAAAAAAAAAGAAAAGGAAAGGAACCAACTCCTTCTCTTGGGACAAAGGCAAAAACACCAGCTGCGGAAGCCTCCGTCGAAGACCGATCTTCATTTGAGGACTGCAACTCTCGCTGGACAGCAGCCGCGACAGCAAACAGCAGCCTGTTGTGCCTTTCGTCACCTCGCCAAGACCTACAGCCCTTTTGCAGTCGACTGTGGAAGAGGAAGAAACAGCCCCGCCTGCTGCCTGTTTTTCTTCATTCCCGACTGTCCAACAGCAACAGCAGCGCCTGCTTGTTTTTCCTCGTTCCTTACCGTCCCCTTTTAGTTCAAGATTATTGGGGATTTCTCCTAAACCCTCCATGTGAGTTCAACTTAAATCTTTAAATGGAATTTTATACTATAGAAAGGAAGTAATTTTCTTATCTCATGTTTTAACTTCATACATCTAACTTCTTGGTCGAAATAAAGATTTTGGGACAAAGGTTGAACTAGATAGATCTCGTTTTAATGATAAATTGAGTTTAGATAAATGGTTTAATCACTTGGTAAAATACCCATTTAACTCTAAAGCCCTCATSCTCTTAGTTTGGTGTCCCATTTTGGCGAGTGGGGATATTTCAATAAGTTTGGGCATACGAAATCTTCTGGATAAGTGAGTACTAAGATGTTTATGGCTCCATATTTAAGTATATTACTAGAATATAGTGGGTTTAAAGCATGAAGTTTGTTTCATTGTATTTGGTGTGAAGGGTGGTGTGAGTTGTAATTAGGCATTATGATCATTATGAAAATTCCAAATCACCTTCTCACTCCCACTCGGAAATAGGCATTGTGATTATTATGTAATTTCCGAGATAAAGAACTTATGATCACGACCGAATAGATGACTGGTTTAAATTGATGTCGATGGTTTTATACCGGTAAGTGATACTCTATAATGTTAATCTATAACTTATTTTGTGTTCCGTCATAATTAATGGTAAATCGGGTCTCCCCCGTCATCTTCGGATGTCTTGACACTCCCACGTATTATTTATGATTCATTTTCTATATATATATATATAAATATCGTACGATACTACGTCATTATTTATATTTATATAGTGCATGTATATCGTTTTATTTTATTCGTGGGAATGATGGTGTAAGTTGGTGATAGGCATTGTGATTATTATGTAATCACCAAATCATCCTCTCACTTTCACTCGGTAATAAGCATTGTGATTATTGTATAATTACCGAGGTAAAGAGCTTAAGATCACGGCCGACTACATGATTGGTTTAGGTTGATGTCGATGGTTTTAAACATGTGAGTGATGCTCTATAACGTTGATCTATGACTTACTTTGTGTCTGTCATAATCAACGGTAAATCGGGTCTCCCCCGTCATCTTCGGATGTTTTATTGTTCCACTTCGAGTTATTCAGGTCTTATTGTCTCTATTCCTGTTTAAAGTTACGTCAACTATTTGCATGTATATTTTTATATATGTTCCTTTATGTTTACGTAAGCTCTTTTGTTTGGACTCACTAGGCGTAAGCCTAACCCTCTCTCTTTCTTGTTATAATTACTATTTAGGTTCCTTTAACGGTGGGGCTCTAAAGGGTTGAGATGAGCGTTGGTTCGTGAAAGACTCTTTTGTAATTATAGCCTTGTTACTTTTGAACGTTGCGTTTTTGATGTTACCGCATTTTGGAGATACCCGTCTCTAATTTAAAAAAATCTAGATTAGTAGGTTGTTATTTATCTTCTCAGTAGCGGAATTGTAAACGCTATACTACTACTTTTGTTGGGTGAAATTTGTTTTTTTTTTATTTAAGATTCTAGTTCTCGTTAGATATTTTCGGTTTAGACTACCCTTTTTTTTAGGGTGTTACAAGTTGGTATCAAAGCTCTAGTTTAAGCGAACTGGGTAAGGAACTAAGATGCCTAGACTTAAGCTGAGATTTTAAGCGTTAATTGGTGAGTTATGGGTAGAACATTTAAGATAAGGGAATTTTAGAGTCATCAGAGTCGCATAATTCATGAACTGTGATGATGGTGATTGAGAACCCTTATGTATAACCTATTCAAAATCTCACTTAGCTAATGTCATTTTGAGTAAGTTGTTACATTCGTGTACTTGAATCCACTATTATTACAAAAAAAAAGGATGTTAAGATGTCAATTAAGTGATAATAAGTCAGAGAAAGCTCCGAGTTTCGGTAAGGACTAGTGTATGCCTAAGGGCCTATGTACGAAGTCAAATTAGTAAAACAAACATTGGTTTGAGATCTTCCTAGTGAGGTAAGTGATGTAACATGTGTTCCCTACCATATAGAGAGATGGCAAGGCAAGGCAAGGCAAGGTAGAGCATGTACTATAAGTTATGATGCAATGCCTCAACAATATTTAGTATGAATGTTATTTAAGCATTAATGTCTTTAGCAACTATTAGTGTATCCATCAAGTATGCATCAGAGTATCAATAAGGACATTAGCATTGTGTATCATGTTCTATAAAGTATCATAAGTAGTGCTTACCTATCGTCCATCATGAATGATGAATACTTCCAACAATGTTCAGTTATGGAATGACACATTTAGTAATTTTCACAGATTTTGTGGCCGAATTAGAAGAGAAGTTCATACATTTGAAGATCCGCGATTTTGTAAGAGATTCATGTTTCCAACCTTCTTTGCTGCTAATATGATAAAACCACCGAATTTTGATCCTGGCTTCAATTTGAGACTACTACTTTAGCTGCTTGACCGAACTTTGGTCATTTGGAGTCTCTTTCTAATAGTTGTTTTTTGGCTTCCCGGGCAAAAGTGGTCTGAGAAGAAAAGAAGACCATGCAACATTTTCTCCATTCTTGATCGACTTTATACCCTGAATACCATCAATAGTCGAGCCTTTTTGCTCAAAATCTTTGAATGAAATATCTTCATTTGAATAATTTGTTCTCGGATTCACCGCCTTTCTTAAATACGAGTAGATTGCTTTGTGAATCTTTTCTTGATCTCTTCACTATAGAACAAGATACTTGGATATAGTTACCACACAACATGATGCTTCCAACCTATCTGCCAACAAGGAAAAACCAAAAAAACCATAGGAGATTTCAAGAATACATTTAATCAAAAACCTATCTAATCAGAAAACCTATCTGATTAAAAAGTAAATAGAAAACCTAGAAGAACATGGCACTAGGGCAAAATCAAAAACCATGAAGAGAAACCATAGACTATAAGAACAAACCACAAACACATCAAAAACCATACTTGGAACCGAAAGCGTGAATGGAAGCAAAGACCTGAGGAGGAGGGTCTTTATTGCAAATGTAGTTGGAGAAATTTAGGGGAAATTAAATGACCGATAAAGGAGTAATGTTTTCTAACTGACCAATTAAGTCATTGACTAAAAGAATAAGTCACAATCGAACAACTATAATTATGGCTTATTTTGAATACAAAAATCATATTATAATAAAATAAAAAATATATATCCACCCTGCAAGAAAAACTTATACGCATCAGAAAACACCTTTTGGAGAAATCAAAGATGAATATAAGAAATTATGAAACGCTAAATGATAGATCTGGGTGGAATTGAACCACCAACCTCACGGGAATTGGACCCCGCGCGCTCTTACCATTTCAGAGCTCACAGATCTCAACAATTATCATCCCAACTTTTAAGGTTAAGAAGCATCCCATTTTTAAATTATTACTTACCAATATTTTAGAATCATTTATGGCTTTTTGTAATAAAACATTTCCATCATTTTGGAACTAAAATTTCTTGAAAGAAAACTAGGGATTTACCGATGATGGATAATCATCCCAAACCAACTTTCACAAAGTGATAAAATCGTTTACTACATTTTGCTCCAGAAACTTTACAGGATCACACTATTGAGAATAGAAAGAAATAGAACAAGTGCTTAAAAATAGACATTTATAACAACAGTCAATAGATGAGCAAAATAGAGCTCGTCAGGTGACAAGCATCTATAGGAGACGGCTAAAACTTCATCCACAAATCATGAAAATTTCAGTGTCCTACATGCAACTTAAGAAAAGCTCAACTACATTTGATCAACTGGTCGACTACAGATTGCAGCACCATCAGAGACATCAGGTCAAATCATCTGCAACAATGAGTTTCAATAGAGTACTAAAAAACATACTATCAACAGAATTACTGCAACAGAACTGGTTAAAGAAAGTTACAGCAACAAAAATTGAGAGGGAAGGTACCGATCAATGAAAATTGAGAGAGAAGGTACCGAATGGCAAATAGAACATCCAACTAGACTCATGCCAGTATAGCTATAACACGTGGATCAGATGAGAAGACAATGAGTGGCAACCATGCATGCCACACCCCGGACGAAATTACATCATGCAAGCATCGTAACCTGTTTGCATTCACACCGATAATGCCGCGGACCGGACCCAAACGGCCAAAGCTTTGTCAGTGAGGAACATACCAGCCAGCACTTCCAGAAGGCAAAACAGCAGAGAAAACATCTTGCTATAATAAGCAACAGCGACAGCCAGAGGCCACAACCTTGAAGTCCAGCAGTAGCAAAAGCAGCTGCTTTGACAAAAAGGCGGCTACAGCACTTCCACTTGCAACTCTTGCATATCAGCAAACTCTTGATCCACCTAGAGAAGATAAAGTTCCACCAGCAGCATTGCTTACAACATTTTTGCTCATCGTCTCCAACCAGATATTACAACCATAGGGGTCATGAAAAGCAAACAACCTAGTAGCTTTTGATGGAGATGGTATCTGAAATTTATAGCTCTTACCACAAACCTTATCATGTAAGGCCAGGCAACCATAGCATACAAAACAATTTAAACTCAATACAGACAGAACTCCACCCATTAACACAAAACACAAATTTGATGTCCAGTATAACATAAGATAAAAATATAAAAATGATCGCAAAACCTCAAAATGAAGCAAAAAATATAATCAATTAAAAAAGCATAGGGAAAGAAAAAATTAATTAAACAGATTCTGGCATAAAGTAGCGAACCGTTTTGATCTCCAGGTGTTGTCTTATGAAATGCTGCATCACAAAAGTCGTGTATTGGGACTGAGAAGAGTAAAGATTGCATGATAAGTATGATTCATAAATATGTAGACCCTTCCACGACACCATTGGGTATGTGCTACTTTAGAACATTAGCGCACTATTGTATGCATAGGTGGCTGAATTCTGTTTCCAATGGAACACTTAAAAAATATTCTAGTAATATTTAGATTTATGTAGCGACGCAGTTGAAAGATCAAGGTTTGGTATAAGCTCAATTAACGGACAATAACAAATTTATTGTGAACCCTGCAAGCCGAAGACAAGTCATTCTGATCATCCACCCTTAAAAAGGGTTGGTAGTTTGTCGTCAGTTCTATTCAGAAGAACTACAGGTTAAATCATGCTTGTCAAAAACCTGTTATATTCATCTCAAACGTAGAGCTTTGTACAAAAATTATGATGGAATAATTTAATAGAAACCGCCGGTTCAAAAGCCTACCAAGAAAGTTGCAGGGATGTATAATATCATTTGACTAAACTTTGCGATATATATATTGTAAACGATCACGACAAGCAGTTTGACGGATAGTACCTTTTGCTGAGAATCAGGTGATGGTTAATGTCGATGGGGGATCACTTGGATAAACGATGTTGATGTTGCCACGATTTGGACTGTAAGAGGCTTTAAGCACGGATAGAGTAAAAACAGGCACTCGAACACACACACACACACACACAAAACACAAGGCGCGCACACCAGAGGAGAGATCCCGGGCAAAACCCGTGCGACCTCCCCTCAAAACAAAAACAATATTTTTTATTAGGATATGGCGGCCTGCCATGCGAGCGCACCCAACATGGCAAAGGCCAAATAACAAGAGGTAAGAGGACATACAGGACTCCACTACAAACGAGACCCGTTCCTTCCGATTACTTTCTATATATACAAACAAACCTGGATGTCGATTCCACACTTAAAGTTCCCATTAGTACATGAACATCGTCTTCCAGCGAGTCAAAACTTTGATCACTAAGATGCATTTGATAAAAGATTCTGATGATCCATCAAACGAACAAAAATCTCCGCATCAATTATTCATCTGGATTACTACCTCCAGAGGACGACACTCGCAACCAACGAACACTGTACCAAGAAAACCTGAAATACAATGAAAGAAGTGAGATTCCAGAAGAGGAACCCAAAACGGCTAAACGATCTACCCTCCAAGACGATACTGGTGATTCTAAAAAGCAATCGGTCTAAGAATAAGAAGAAAAACCAGAGTAGGCGATGAAGAATGACCAGCAAGAAAAACATAATTCTTTGTAATTTCAAAGAATCGTCGACGTTTATCCCTCCCCCATCTCCCGATTAAAACCAAAAAGAATCGGAAAACGATCAATAGTAATCGCTAGCCCAAAAGCAACCAAAAGAACGATAGATCTCAACTGCATATACAAAGCGACGATTAACCGTACCTTCCAATCCGCTTTCAATCAACAAATCGCAGATCTGAAACGTAGACAACAGATCCGTGACGGTTAAAGGTAGATCCACGGCCATCAACACCTCACGTCAAACCAATCGGTTTTCTGCAAAACAACACGATCGATAGATGGATCCAAAAGAAAAAACACATCAAAACGTAGATCGTCAACCGATCTACATCGATAACATGTTGATCGAATCGAACTCGAAAGGCTCGACATCAGATCTGAGATTTCTCCCAATATGAGGATAGGATATACAGTCGGTTGTCGGCGAGATGATATTTTCTCTAGTCTCATAATTTGCGTTTTATGGAAGCGAGGGTAGATATGGACGGACGAGATTGAAAGATAGAACAATGATCCGACGGTGGATAGAGGAGATCGTGACGTGTAGGATTATACTTAATTCCAATAAAGGCGGTCGCACGAGAAACTTGACGCTTTCGCAGCAAGAAATTTCGTAGCCGCATTTTAGAAGCCTACGGTTCAACCCACCCGACCCGATAATCCACAACTACACCGCCTCGTTTTTATGTTGAGACGCCAAACTTCAAGTTTTTCAAAAAAATACCCAATTTAGAATTTTTATTTCAATTATACCCCAACTTGTTTTATAAACCAAATCAAAGTGACCCATTAAATTGGACCCAGGAGTAACGTTTAAGGGTAGAATGGACATTAAGAAAACACTAACTCAATGGCTAAACAAGGTGTTTTAAAAAAAAAAGAACATTTGATTTGCGAAAAGGATTAAGGGGTCGTTTACCAAACGTTTATCTGGGTAAGCGTTTACCTAGTAACATTACCTCATCAAATGAATATGATAAGAACCAAAAATATTACCCGGTAAAAGCGAGACAAAGACCAAAACTCTTACCCGGTAAGTGAGAGCGATGACTCTTACCATTATAAACGCTTATCAGGTAAATTGTTGCATATAATGTCGTTTTGGTGGACTAAAATCTTACCCGCCAAGTAAATAATAGTGTAAAATTTCACCGGTAAGCACTTACTGGATAAGTGTTCGATAAACGGCCCCTACGAAAGTTTTATTTGAAACTTCAATTTTGAAAAAAAAAAAAACGACAAGAAAAATAAAGAAAATGAAAACCATGTTGCATGATAGCAGAAAGTGGAAATAATTGCGAGGGTGGTAGTTAAATTGATATGATAAATATTTATGATTTGAAGGCACACTTTTTTTATTGGGAGGGAGGCACACTTACGGTTACGGGTGTCAAAAAATTCTGAAGCCGAATAACTTATCAAAACCAAATGGTTTCAGGTTATTCGGTTTTTATCTTAAATGATACAATTAATCGAATAATATATGCCTTATATCGGTTCCATGTTCAATTTCTTTTACTAATGTGGTTAAACCTGCATATTATACTGCTATACATATATGTATATGTATATATGTTATTATTTCAGTTGAATTGAAAACAAATAAACATATTACACATTAATAAAAAAAAGGCGATCGGTTAATAAAGAACCAATTTGCTAGAGGAACAAGCCACTAAACCAACTCGTAATAAATCATCATATTGGCACTTAACGGTAAAACCAGCTTGTAACAAACCTAATGAAAGAATCAAAACACTTAATAGTGAACAAACATATAAGAAGTCATTTATCAAGTTATATTACCTTACCAGATGAATATGACATGGACCAAGAATTTTACCCATAAAAGTCAAAACAAAGACCGAGAGCCTCACTCGATAAGTGAGTGTGACAACTATTACCATGTATTATTCAAGACCCGGTTTGATCAGGTTATACACTTTTTACTTTTTTCAAGTTCTTTTTAGCATTTCAAGATTTTATTCACTTCAATGTATTATTAAAGATATTTCGATAGTAAATTTCAAAAAATATAACTATAAAAACATGTAACCTTTTTTGTGTAATTTTTTCAAAATAATTATTTAAAAACCTGTCGGGCTTGGGACCGGTATTTGGGCCTAGGATTTTTATCAAGACCAAAACCGACCTATTCGGTTTTAAAATAACCTATTTGGGACCGGCCTCAACCTAACTTCGGGACATATTTTTGACTCTCTAGTTGGTAAGCAAAATCAATTACCAATACTAACGACCTAATTATGTGCCAGTTTGTTGGTGGGGTGTTCAAAAACCCGACAAAATCGACCCAATATCGAATCAAGTTGTACAATTTTCAAACTGTATGTATTTGGTGAAAATTGAGTTACGGTCAACTGAACCAAACACAACCTGATGAACTCAGTATCCTCTTAATTCTTGTATTTAATATGATTGTTAAATCCATATTAATATGTACATTAGACAAATTACACCACACGTACCCTCTTTATGTATATATAAATTCAATATCCTCCATTTCTATACGACTATTTTCTATATATTTTTAGTGAATGTAAATATATATATATGTACTATGTTATGAAATATTTGACAAAAACTTTTAAAAACTATTTTTTATGCATGAAGTACTATTTATTGATGCATATTATACTTAAAATTTAAGATTACAAATAATTTTGTATAAGTACAACTTGTTAAAAATCCATTTTTAAATTCGTGTAACTAACTACTGATAAACATAATCAAATACAAAATAAACATCCGTTTTGAATATAAAATATAATTGAAACAATCATTGAATTCCAACAGAAAGTTTATTATTATCATTATAAAAATTACATTAAATCAAAAATAAATTACTTTGTTATTGAATTTAAATTAAATTATAATAAAAAATTAAATTAAA